GTAGAAGAATTTATCAACACCAAATACATGGTCCAAAAATTCAAAATACAATTCTTGCACTAAACCAGATCCATCTAACAAAACTATACATGTTGCCATTAAATCTTCATGCAGATAAGCATACAGGGAAATTATTACATTTTTCCCTTCCACTTACCGTCAGCACTTCCTGCAATACATATTTAAAATTACAAAACGAGGGTTAGACCGAAAGGTCTAGTGAGTTACCATATTTATGTCATTGCAGGGTGAAAATCACCAAAAACCTTTAAGTAAAATAATTTTTCATATATCATAAATATATAAACAAGTAAGAACATAATACGAATACCTTTCACTTTTCAAGTCAATAATTCCTGCTTGTGAATAGTTCATCAAATACCAACAGGTTTATACTAATCAATTTATCGTAATGTCACTTTCAAACCTTTTAACTCAAATAAGGTTTATTCAAAGTTCCAGGCCAAACCTGTTATCTTCTCCTTAATAACATTCAAACTATGATTTCTAATAAGAACCTTGATCCTAAATCTTTAAATCACAAAGAAATAAAGATTCCAGATCATGGTAATCTTAAGAGATTTAATAGTAGAAGTTATATTATATAACACACATATACAAATGTCACCCTTATATCCAGATGTATATCTCTCCTTGATATGTCACCCTTATCCCATGGTACACCTCTCCTTGATATGACACCCTTATCCCATGGTACACCTCTCCTTGATATGCCACCCTTATTTCCTCATCAAAATATTTCATAAAACAATTCCAAATAGAATAGACCGCAGTCAATGGAATTATTATCAGTTCCAATTCAATTTTGTCAAAATTCCCAATTATTATTAAAAAGAATCATAATTTGTCAAGATAACACTTAATCCGGTCAATCTTGTCCGGATAACAAATCCGGACAACATTTCCACATATTGTCCGATTTATCACTTGACTTACAACACAACCTTGTCCGGATAACAAATCCGGACAACCTTATTCACCATCATCCGATTTTACTAAATCGGTCATCACTTAGAATTATTTCCAACACTTTTGTCCGGATTACAAATCCGGACAACACTATGCCATATTGTCTGATTTAGAATAAAACGGTCATCTCATAGTCGTATTCCTACTTCTCCGTTCAAAATATTTATTACAATCAAAGATCATAAATCGCTCAATTTACATCCGATTTATTCTAATCCGGTCAACGCACCAGGCGGTTTATTTTTAAGTCGCTCATGCCTTGACCAGTTTAGGGCTTAAATCGTCCAAGCTTTGTCCGGTTTAAGACTAAACCGCTCAACACATATTCGATTTATACCTTAAATCGTCTAAGCTTTGTCCAGTTTAAGACTAAACCGCTCAACACATATCCGATTTATACCTAAATCGTCCAAGCTTTGTCCGGTTTAAGACTAAACCGGATAACCCTCCTACGGTTTAAACTTCAAACCAGATAAAAATTTATACAACAGTTATGCATTTCAAAGAGAGTAAAAACTTTAAATCACTCACCTTATGTGATTCTTTTTCAAAAACAGATGAATCCAATCTTCTTGAAAATCTAATAAGTTCTTTTCCAAAATGAGCAATCTGAATACTGCTTCTCTCAAAACACTCTCAAGGCTCAAAGGTGGCAAGAAGCTTTATTTGTAAACATAACTTCCTATTTATACTTTTTCTAAGAAGGCATGGCGGTTAAATCCGCCCTTAACCATGCATCTAGACATGCATGCATTCATACACATAACCCTTTTCATGCATACCATAACCTATATACATATATTCATGCATATATACTCAATCCATGCACATAGATCACACATACATATAACACACACACACACACACACACATATATATATATATATACATATCATATTGTGCATACAATACCCATGCATAAAATACACACATTCCTGTTTTTAACTCATGTAAGCATGTATTCATATAAACGATTAATTCACATAATAATTAACTCAGGTGATAACCAGGACCCAATTACCACTGATATGTTATCATATTTTACAGACTTTGACCCTCGATAATCAGACGAATGTCCTTCCTACTTTCTCTTATCAGCAGCCTTTCCCTCTTCCTGCATCTTCTTATTTCGTTCAGTAACTTCCGTCGCATCCACATTTAATGAAACAGTAGTAGGGTTCATAGCGATCACAAATTCTCGGATCGAATGCTTTAGACCCCAAATATACCTCTCCACCTTTCTGGATTCTGACGAAATGTAGTGCTCAACAAACCAGGAGTATTCAATGAACTTTGCGGTATATTCCCTAACCGTTCCAGTACCCTGTTCTAGTTTCAAGAAATCTTCCTCCATCTGTCTTACAGCTGTCTTGGGACAGAACTGATCTTTGAATCGGTTCACAAATTTTACCCAAGATAATGTTTGTAAGACGTCTGTTCTGGCTAAAGACTCAACTTCCCACCAGAGTAGAGCAGTGGACTTCAATACAGAAACAGCAAACCAAACTTTATATGTTTCCGAACACTCAATAGTGTTGAACACAGATTCAATCTCTTTGATCCAGCACATGGCTTTAACTGGATCTCTTTCTCCAGAGAAAGTTGGTAGTTTGCATGTCAGAAACATTTTAATGTCTCCCTCCTTGGTATGTACAATCGAAACAGAGGGATTTACTTCCACTCTCTCTATTTCAACCCTGGCAGATATCCCCATAATAGATGTCAAGGTTTCCCTTAGCTTTCCCATTTCTTCTGCCAGCATATCTCTAGTTATATATTCTAGCTGAGGTATCTGCTCTTGGTTGACATTCCCAGAATGAGATTCTCCACGTTCAGGATAAGTCTCAATCTGACTTCTTCCTTGGGCCTGGCTTCTCCCTTGGCCCCTACCCCTGGTTCTTCCCCGACATCTATTCCCATAAGTACTAGTTGGAAGATTGATAGGAAATTCCTCTCTTTCCTCAGACTCAGAACGAGCGATCCTCTCAGATCTCCGTGTTCGGCTAGAAATCTGCAGATTTCAATGTTAATAATCACGTATTCACATTTCCAAATATAATGAAGTATCTAAGCCCATATATGTACCTGTAAATTCATAATTGCACTGATCAGATGTAATTAGAATTTATCTTACACACTGCTCTCTTATAACTCATCATATTTATTCCCAATGGTACTAAATATGTTTGGTATCCCTAGCATGCAATTAAATAGTTTAAGTCTAGGTATCATGCTTTAAATACTTAAATCCCTTAAACTCATGCTCTGATACCACTCTGTAACACCCCACATCACACATTGCATGTAACATATACTTCATTCACAAATATTGAGTAATTTTCTTTTATTATTTCAAAAAGAATGTTATATCAGTATCATAATCCACTTGTGAATAAATATTAACATAACTGGTCATCAAATTATTTTTAACCAAAATACATAACCGGTCAACTCTCAACAATCCAGTCAACATATTAACTTGGCGGATTTTATCTCCGATCATGCCTTGGCCGGATTACATATCCGGTCAACTATTCAATGTATTTCCAACGCATTAAAATCCGGTCAACACTCGGCCGGATTTATACAACTCCGGCCAACACTATGGCCGTGTTACCCCAATCCGGACAACCCCACAACCGGTTTCACTCTTTACCGGTTAACATTATGACCGGACAAGTTCTAATCCGGACAACACTTCAACCGGTTTAAGTCAAGTCCGGACAGCATTAAAACTGTATTCCTACTTCTCCGGTCAAAACCATGTCCGGATTCATATTTCAAAATCTCTCTAACACATAATCCGGTCAACACTATGACCGGGTATCTCCCAATCCGGACAACACTTCAACCGGTTTTAAAACCAAATCCGGTTACATATATTTTCAAGATACCAAAACATAATTCAAACCAAAATGAATAAAATCATATGAATCAAAGGTTTGAACCACTCACCTTATGTTGTCTTTGCAAATGAGAACCAACTTTGATCCCAAATAAGCAATCCGGACAACTTCCTCTCAATCCTCTCGTAGATTTCCAAAAATCACAAAGAAGTTTATTTGAGAACCTCATCACTTATTTATACCCTTCCAAAAGTGGAAGGGGGCTAAGAGCCCTCATATGCAAGCATACATCACATGCACCCTTATGTATACATACTCATTTTATTTTATGCATGCCTTTAATGAATAACCATTCATGCATGCATATATAATCATGCACACTCTCATACATACAA